GATAGATAGATAGATAGATAGGATAGATAGATAGATAGATAGATAGATAGATAGATAGATAGAAGAAGATAGATAGATAGATAGATAGATAGATAGATAGATAGATAGATAGATAGATAGATAGATAGATAGATAGATAGATAGATAGATAGATAGATAAATAGATAGATAGATAAGCAGGCTGACCGGCCGATAGACGAGTGTCTAGGCTCAGTCAGTCTGCATGTATAAGCAGATAGCTATTACACTGGAGAGGCCATCAAGAGGTATTTTTCTTCTCGTGGCTTTCCGTTGACAGTAGGCATTTTTCTTTGGCACTGGCCGATGAACGAGCAGTGTTGAGCCATGTATGTATTTTAACAGGGCCTGAAAACTGGAGTCGACTTTACCCAAAATGCGGTGGATTGATGCAGTCGCCTATTGACATCGACACAAGTAGAGTGGTGTACGATAGAACTCTGAGCCTCTTCGACTTTTCGGACTACTCAAACAAAGAGGGGGTCAACATGACGTTGATGAATATGGGAGGTCATACAGGTATGTGCATTCTCATCAAATCAGTCTTCGTGTTGCAGGAGCTTACCTAGGGTATGGCAGGTAGGGCAGATATCCTAAGCGTCACTTGAAAGGGGAGGGGGAAAACCATATTTATGCAGCTTTTATTAAGCTTGCTTTCTGTTTGTTTGTTTGTCTTTACAATGTTTGTCTTCGATTTTTTTTCAAGTTGGAGAGTCTCATCTGCAAGGACCATAATGCGTTTTAGTATTTTGAAGAAGGTTAGTTAGAACGGCGCACTCTACAAAAGTATAAACGCTCACCTCTTTTTTCCTATCCTTTGAGAGGCTAGTTTCTTAATTGTTCTTTTTTCTACTCTTCTAGGCAAGCTGTTAGTTAGTTAGTTAGTTAGTTGGGTTATCATCATTGCACTCCGGACATGTCCATAGGTGCTCAGATCCTCCCCTCAGTATGAATCCCAACGTCCGATGGCTAATAGTACCAGTTCTATGTTGATTAACAAGTCTTCTGACGTGTCCGGTGTGCGTCTCGTTTTTTGCTGTGCCGATCTTAATTCCCAAGTCTGCCATTCTGGCGAGTGATGTGGATTCACTGCCACCAAAGTCCTCTATCCTTCCCATTTCTCTGAGGGCATTGATAATATCAGCATGATCCATAGGCCGACCGTCGGTAGTGATAGCGGATCCAGCCAACCTGTCAGCTCTTTCATTTCCATCGACGCCTGCGTGTCCCGGAACAAAAATAAAGGTGACTCCTCGCACAGTGGACTTCTGAATTGATTCAAGCCATTGTCTTCGCACTGAACCTGCCTGAACCCTCCGGATCATACTCATTGAATCACTGAGTATACACACGCGGGTGTATTTTTTGTGTTTCAAGCCAGGCAAGCGCTTGCGTCACTGCCATCACCTCCATCGTCATGCTGCTGGTTGTCATGGAGAAGGCGCCGTTGGCTTCTTTGAATGTTTCTGCCCGCTGAGCGTGCTGTAAATGCCCATGCGCTTCTTCTTTGGCGTATAACTGATCCGTCTGTATAGATTAGTGCATCTGCTTCGTCTGAATTTTCACCGATGAGAGCGTTGACCTCTGCATTAACAGCAACAGGATTATCTTCTCTACATCGCCTGTTGAGTGTGACAATACAGGAAAATGTACAAATAAACGCCTGAGGCACAGGTATCCATTCTGCACCAGGTATGATGTCGGTTAGGCTGCATATTTGCCTAATAACATCTTCTGCCCTACCTAGCCACGATTTTCCCCTCTTCAGTCTGTCGCCCTTTTCACTAAAAAGCGCTTGATGCAGTGGGTGTTTCTTATCAGCACATATTTTGAGGTATGCCCGAGCCCTCCACATCCTGATCCTTTGGTTCATTGTTGGAAAGTCAAGTAGATACCTCATTGCTCCACAAGATGTGTCTCTTGTACATCCCAAAATAATACGCATGGCTTCATTTTGCACCTTCTCTAGTCGTTCAATCTGGGTAGCACTGACAGTGAGGATGGCCAGAGCGTATTCAATGGGGGAAAGGACCAGACCATAGAATAGAAGCACCAGCAGTCTTTGCTCGATATTGGAAGCAGCCATAATCCTCATTGCAGATAGACCTTTGCGTGCTTTTGTTATCGCATGGTCAACGTGTTCCCTGAATGACAAGCTGCGATCGAACCTCACCCCGAGAAACGTCATAACGTTGGTTCTGATCAATACATTATCACTCATTTTCACTTCTGGTAAGTCCGACTTGACAATGTGATTGTTCAAAGAGAACCATGACACTGATGCCTTCGAGGGATTGACATAGGCATTGGAACCATCACACCAGGCGGCAATTCGATCGAGTTCTTTGTGCATTGTGCTGGCGATCTCCTGTCTATCACGCCCTCGTCGATAAATCAAAATGTCATCAGCAATTGACAAAGTCCTTCCCTTTCCATTCAACTGCTGCTCAGTGATCATCACCGTATAAACACTGAATAAGACTGGTGATAGCGGTGATCCCTGTGGCAAGCCTGGACATATCGTTTGCGGTTCTGAGGACCAGCTACCACATCTTAGTACAATCTTTCTCTGGAACAGGACCGCAGCAATCCAGCGGATCAGAATAGGATTTCTAGTTTAAGCAGTAATTGCATTAAATAATCACATGGTACTTTATTGTAGGCATCTTCTAAGTCCAACACTGCCGCACATGTCTCTTCTTTAATCTGAAATCCCTCGTACACATCGTAGGCGAAAACAGCAGCATTGGACCATGTCTCTTTCTTCAATCTGTACCCTCCAAGTGTTGATGGGAACTTATCATGTAGTTCCAAGTAGGTGGTCAATCTTTGTGCGACAATTTTTTCCAAAAGTTTGCCAACAGTATTCTGCATCGAGATGATTCTGTAGCCGCAGATCTTTGAGTGGTCTTTATTAGGCAAGCTGTGCGACGCTGAAAGTCATGTTTATCCACAACCTTCTGTCTCGGGTAATTTCAGTCAAATGCGACACATACGATCTTCTACGCTATGCTGTCAGACAGTTCAACATCTTCTCTCTCTCTCTCTCTCTCTCTCTCTCTCTCTCTCTCTCTCTCTCTCTCTCTCTCTCTCTCTCTCTCTCTCTCTCTCTCTCTCTACCTCTTCCCCTCCAACATTCACACTGTCACGATGTACACTAATTTTCTCCTTCTTATGACATGACCGAAACATGTAGAATGTCTCTTTCTGATGTGAGCAATCAGTTCTCTTCGTGAGTCAGTTTCTTTGAAGGCATCTGATTGCTCTTGTTGTCAGTTGATGGTAGTCTCATGAGAATTCATTAGTCTTTATTAGCAATTCCTGAATTGAGCCATCTTCTTTTTCTACAGGATCCTGAGCCCGTGAGATTTCAGCAGATTCATCCTTCTCTATTGATCTCTCTGGTTGGCCTTCTATTTCCATGTAGTGACTTTAAGTGTTAGTAGATCCTCCCATATAGTATCTCTTCATCGTCTTTTTGGTCTGCTTCGTTGTGTATACAGCTTTTATTTCTAAGTCGTCTGACATTTTTTTCAAAATGCCCCAACCATTACAGTCTACTTGTCTTCATGATGCTGTTACTATGACACTGTTTTGACCCTCTTGATCGCCAACCCATGGTCATCTTCATCATCAGATAACTGCAAAATACCCTTCTAGTACTTTTGAGTATTATTTGAGGCGTGTCCTTTGTATCAGTGTTTCTCAACCTTTTTAACACCAATGGCCCCACCAAAACAGGGACAATTGTTTCACGAACAGCTACCGAATCATTTTCGTGTCCGTTGCTTTGCTGGATTAAAAAAAAAGCTGAGGGGGGGGGGGGGGGGGTCCCGATCAACCAGCATCTCTAAAGGGGGTGCTTTAAGTTATAATTGTGACTAGATTTTATGCACCTTATAAAATGGCGTGGGAGTCCCTGTGACGGATCGGAAGGTAGTGGGTTCGCTCCAAGGAGGAGCCGGACTTTTTTCAAAAATGACCTTGGCTCCCAGGTCGACCCAGCCTTGAGTGCGTACCTGGTGCAGTGCAGGGAAGTAGAGGGGGCCGGCGTGATGCTGACCACATCACTCATCTTGTGCCGATTGGTCTATAAAAATGTAGGTCTAGCCCTATATGCCCTAAACGCCTAAAGGCGTGAAAAATGGTCATGGTCATGGTAGTCATAAAAAAAAAAAATTCCTGCCAATTTCAGTCAGCTCCTATAATGAGCAGTGACTCTATCTTGGCAACATTTATGTGCTGCGTGTTGTAACGCTTAGTTTGGTCACTATCTAGTCGGCACGCTGCAGTTTTTTTTTTTAGCAGGCACTTTTATTTCTAGTTCATCCCTACAATACAAATTCAGGGAACTCAAAAGTCACATCTTTGCCAGTCAACTTCTTGTAAACAGATGTGAATGTCTCCAACTTGTGCTCAACATTGTTTTGTTGGCTTTTATCCAAATGAATCTTGATGACCTTGGAACCATCCAACTTGACTCGTACACGTTTGCCAACAATCTCAGCAGGGAAGCACAAATCCTCCAAAATAGCCTCATGTACAGCTGTAAGTGTACGGCTTCTTGGTCTCTTTTGCTTGTTCACCCTCTTGCTGTTCCTTGTAGGCTTCGGCAAAATTCTTCTCTGAGCAATAAAGACAACAGGCTTGCCATTGAACTTCTTTTCAAGTTCTCTAACCAAACGGGTTTGGATTTTCTGGTAAGCTTTCAGCTGAGGAACTGGAACGTAAATGACGATGGCCTTTTTGCCTTGAACATCAACCTCCTTGGCTCCAACGAAGAACAATTCATAAAGAGATGCCTTCGTATCAGGGCATCAACCAGGCGCGTGGAAAATGGTCCTTTACTTACTTATAAAATGGCGGAGCATTGCACGCCACCAAATGCCCTGAAAAGTACTCCCGCAGTGTTGATGCGATCAAAGGAGACTGTCCAGACGGGCGACGAAGTCGTCTTATCTTACGAATACTTTATGTTCCAGCGGAGCTGATTGTTTCTGGTAAAAGTCTGTTACTAAAGGGCGGTAACTTGCCTGAGAAGTACAAACTGGAGCAGATGCACTTCCACTGGGGGTGCAATGACACCCGGGGCTCCGAGCACAGCGTGGATGGCCAGTTCTTTCCCTTGGAGGTAAGCGTACTGTTGGGACTCAAGATTATACTGCAGAGAGGGTATCCCGTGATATTTTACTTGTCGTTACTTAGCATGCGCAGCTAACACTTCAGACTAGTAACTGGTAATAATTATTATTAATTGTTTTTCTTTGGCAATAGGCAGTGTAAACGATGGTTACCGCCGTTACCGGCTCGCCTCGCACCGGACTCAACACAAAAAGGTGGGAGGCCGACCAAAACTGATAACTATTTTGACGATAGTGACGACGGTGACAATAAAGAGACTTTTTTCTGACAGTACAAAAACGGTATGTAGGACCGACGCTTTTTTTTTCAGACTTCATGGTTCTCTCTGAATACCTATATTGTGAATACCAAGACGAGTCGTAAGCATGTGTGGTGTGGACATCAAGAGCCCGGACACAATGAAATGCCCGGGCATGACATTTGACAGATAATTGTCATTCAAATATCACGTAGACAACGTCATACTTAGAGACAGGAATAGTCTGACAGCACTCAAGGTGTTAGCTGTAGCTTATATTAACAACGCCCACTGTTCCTTCTATATCAGGGGCTTGTCTTAAGCGTCATTGACTATTGTATAGGGCTCCTCGCTGTTAGCAGAACCGAGTTAGAAAGACTGGACCGAGTACACAACTAGGCTGCACAAAAAGACACCTCCTGCCACACGATGTGATACACAAAGTTGCACAGGTCAATGCCTTCATGGGGGCATGGCAGATGTTACCCGCCCACTGTACAAAGCTACACACAATCAACATATGCATCAAAAGAGGCCGCTCCTGGATGGCAAAGGCTGAAGATTTAATCCAACAGGTATGTGATCTAGACGAGATCAGTCATGGAAAGTAATGGACGAATACACCTGTAGACATGCATGGTATCTCTAATGTTGTCATCGCACTGGGAAGGTACTGCATGGATCAGACTCCTGCGACTGTAGACACAGAGGAAAGGGCATCGATAGATCAGCACTCACACCCAGATGATATCGTTGTCTACACATATGGATTCGTGAAGCACGGATCAAGGTCAGCATGGGCATACACAGCACAAAGGATGGGGAAAACAATACAAGAAGACAGGGGCGCTTACCAGGCAACTATGTCAAACATAACAATGGAAATAGCCGCTGCTTCTAGAGCACTAGCATTGGCAGCAGAGCAAACAGCCACCACGCAGTAATTGTATCAGACTCCATGAACATGCTTCAGAGGATAGCATCAGGCAGTATGCGCTCTGAATGGATAGAAAGCACTGGACAATCGCACTTAACCTCACTCACCTGGATCTACACACCTGGTCACGCTGGTGTAAAGGGCCATGAGCAAGCGGACCAACTGACAAGCAATGCACCAACTCATGTGGGGAAAAAGCAAGGACAGAGCAGATATCGTCAACGTTGTACGGACTGTGCTAGTGGATACTGACGAATCTCTGACACCAATACGACTGCGTGACATGGGAGTGAAGCATGGAGTTGCACTTCTATACACATTTAAGGCCAAGACATTATAACGAACCTTTTATGGAAGCATTTAGCAGAAGTACCTTTTAGATGCTGCTGGATCAGAGGACTGAGCATGCATAGAAATACCAAATGTGCAGCGATGGTGATTGTGAAAATATAACACAACATATTCATACTTCACTGTGTGGAGTACTGGCCCCTTTTAGGACATTTTGTGATGAGTACTGGCACCTTTAAGGACACTGTGTGGAGTACTGGCCCCTTTTAGGAATTTTGTGTGGAGTACTGGTACATTTTGGGACACTGTGTGGAGTACTGGTCCCTTTTAGAACACTTTATGTGGAGTACTGGCACCTTTTGGGACATTTTTTGTGGAGTACTGACACCTTTTAGGACATTTTGTGGTGAGTACTTGCACCTTTTATGACACTTTGTGTGGAGTACTGGCACCTTTTAGGACATTTTGTGTGGAGTACTGGCACATTTTAGGACACTTTGTGGAGTACTGGCACTTTTTAGGACATGTTTTGTGGAGTACTGACATCTTTTAGGACACTGTGTGGAGTACCGGTACCTTTTAGGACATTTTGTGTGGAGTACTGGCACCTTTTAGGACATTTTGTGTGGAGTACTGGCACCTTTTAGGAAACTGTGTGGAGTACTGGCACCTTTTAGGACATTTTGTGTGGCGTACTGGCACCCTTTAGGACATTTTGTGTGGAGTACTGACACCTTTTAGGACACTGTGGAGTACTGGTACCTTTTAGGACATTTTGTGTGGAGTACTTGCACCTTTTAGGACACTGTGTGGAGTACTTGTACCTTTTAAGACAGTTTGGCACCTTTTCGGACACTATGTGGAGTACTGGTCCCTTTAAGGACACTTTGTGGTGAGTACTGACATCTTTTAGGACACTGTGTGGGGTACTGGCACCCTTTTGGACATTTTGTGTGGAGTACTGGCACCTTTTAGGACACTGTGTGGAGTACTGGCACCTTTTAGGACACTGTGTGGGGTACTGGCACCCTTTAGGACACTTTGTGTGGAGTACTGGCACCTTTTAGGACACTGTGTGGAGTACTGGCACCCTTTTGGACATTTTGTGTGGAGTACTGGCACCTTTTAGGACACTTTGTGGTGAGTACCGACACCTTTTAGGACACTTTGTTGTGAGTACTTTGTAAGAACTGGCACTAATTTAGACACTTTGCATTGAGTAATTGCACAGTTTTGCCAAGGAAAAGCTGTGATGGTGATCATGATTCTGATGATGATGACGACGATTGTTCTGACTTTATCGATAATTTTTTGTACTATGTTTACGACAGATTCACATTGTACATCGACAAAACTGTCAACCTGACGTGGAGGAGGCAGCCAAAAGTCCGTTCGGTTTGGCAGTTGTCTCGATTTTTGTTACGGTAAAAAATGTGTTTAAAAGTACCCGTATTCGTTTTCTTTACGTTCACCTTTAAGTTCCGACTGTTCGTCCACCTTTGGACTTTATTCTTGTTCCAGACACTGAATGTTGCGTACATATCCGTTTCACAGATCTGGCCTATTTATATGTTGGCTCTTGGTTCAGTGCCTCTCAGGCAGATGCGCTGCGACTTCGAAGGATCACCCCATTTAGTCAACTCCTACGACATGCTTGTTGGGTGGGGGTGGGGGGGGGGAGAGTGAGTTATTTCTTTGTTTTCCCCACATTTCCAATAACAACGGAGTATCCTGGATAATCTAACACACGTGTTTTAATGTGCAAATGCGTTCATTCCTTCTTTCTGTTATTCTTGTTAGCGTGGGTCTGTGAAAGTTTCCATTCATCGGATCCTTCTGTCTTGTTCTTGTTCTGGTTAGTGTAGGTCTGTGAAAATTTTGATGTGTCTGACCCCATGTCTTCTTGTTGTTCTGTCTAATGTTGGTCTGTGAAAGGTTCGATCCATATGATCATTGGTTTTGCTGTTGTTCTGCCAAGTGTTGGTCTGTGAAATTTTCGATCCATCTGATCATTGGTTTTGCTGTTGTTCAACCAAATGTTGGTCTGTGAAATGTTCGATACATCTGATCATTGGGTTTGCTGTTGTTCAACCAAATGTGGGTGTGTAAAAGGTTTGATTCAACTGATCCTTGGTTTTGCTGTTGTTCAACCAAATGTTGGTCTGTGATATGTTCGATACATCTGATCATTGGTTTTGCTCATGTTCTGCCAAATGTGGGTCTGCGGAAGGTTCGAGCTATCTGATCATTGGTTTTGCTGTTGTTCAACCAAATGTGGGTGTGTGAAAGGTTTGATCCATCTGATCCTTGGTTTTACTGTTGTTCAACCAAATGTTGGCCTGTGAAATGTTAGATACATCTGATCATTGGTTTTGCTGATGTTCTGCCAAATGTGGGTCTGCGAAAGGTTCGATCTACCTGATACTTGGTGTTTCTGTTATTCAACCAAATTTGGTTTTGTGAAAGGTTTGATCAAACTGATCCTTGTTGTCGCTAATGTGAAACTGTGAATGGTATGCCGTCAAACACTACCACAAACACCTGCCCACTCTACATACAACTTCGCAAAGACACCTGGCCTCAAAAGCAAAATGTGCAAAGCAAGCCGTGGGGAACCTGCTACGGACATGCGAGTTCATAGAGGCAACCCACGCGATGGTCTGATCTGAGCTTACGAAACCGAAAAAAAAAAAAAAAGAATAATAATACGTTCCAACTGATCCTTAATTTTGCTGTTGCTCTCACCAGAAGCGGCAGCACTAATAAAAACCAGGAAAAATGCCTGAACCCCATCCCCCAGGTTTGAGGCCCCTGCTTATATCAGTATGAGCTTTTGTGAGGCTGATGCCAAGCCAACTGCTACTTGACTCTCGCAAGAGCATCAACACCAAAAAATATGTGGAAAAGGGAAGGAGCCCTCTCAAATTTTCTAAAGAGAGCGGGGGACTCTGCGCTGGTGGGTGGGCAAGGGTATGAAGGGGAAACTAAGCCTTGTTTAAATGCCTAAAAGTAAAACTATATAGCCAAAAAAAATAATGCTCTTAATAAATGTTTATATATATATATATATATATATATATATATATATATATATATATATATATATATATATATATATATATATATATATATATATATATATATATATATATATATATATATGAAAAAAAAGAAAAAAAACATGAACAAGAAGGACAGGGAGTAGGAGGATACGAAGAACAAACAAAGAGGAGGCGCGTCGATGGAGAAGTAGAGTAAAAAAATAATTTAAAAAAAAAAGTAAATGATCACTTTTCACGCCTGTATGCGCTGTGGGCATATATGGATACACCTATATTTTATTGACCAATTGGCATTCGGCGGATGGGTCCACTTGGAGTTAGGGTCAACTGAGAAAATAAAGTCTGGTTCAGTTAGGGCTTGAACTAACGACCTCCTACTCCGTAAGCGAGCGTCGGCCGCTTCACCACGGCGACTCCCAGAAGGAGATTACAGAGGAAGAGAAAAAAGAGGAAAAGGATGATGAGAACACGGAACCATTATAATAATCTAATAATTTTGGTTATTAGTTGCGTAACCTTTACAGGACGTTGCAGAACCAACCCCAGCACTATCTGGATGTTGTGGTTTTTCTAGGCAAATTTACGCCCAGTAGTTTACCATTGCCCTGAACGGTCAGCTCTCGGTACCACGGTCGAAACCATCGCAAGACAAACGATAATTTACCTTAATCGAATAATTGCAACAACAACAAACGACTTTCAAAATAATGATTGTGGTGCTTTGTTTTTGTGTATTCAAAGATCAGCATCATGGCACTCCGGTGTATTCCATGACTGCTCAGTTCTTCTTCTAACTCTAGCCTGAATCTGAAGAATCTCAACGCAGTGCACGAACTCTCTAGCACCGGTGAGGATCCGGACGAACATTGAGTAGATTTTTAACTCCGATTTTTGCCCGGGCAGCGCCGTTAGGCTACGCTTTTCGATTAGCAACTTTCAAGGGATTGAGTACTTTCGCAAAATACACATGGGCGTCCGGTCTTACTACCCAGAGACCAGGGCAAATTACTATAAGTCCACGTGAACAAATCCCAGTCCTCACCGGGGCCTAAACCCGGGACCTCTAGCACTTGAGGTGGACACAATACCTCGAGACCACCCCTTTTTTCCTCAGTTGTCATGTATTTACTTGTCTTGTCCAGGCTGGCGCTGAAAATAAGAAGTTCAACCAGCTGGTCGACTTCTTGGATCAGATTTCAAACCCAAGTAAGATTTCCATAATTTGTGTCCTGTTTGGCTACGGTCTCGCCATCATATACAGTGGATATGAGGTTGGTTGTTGTCTAGTTGCCACTGTGATATGCAGCGGCTATACACTCGCCTGCGCGTTTAGATCGTTTTGATGGAGCCGTACTTGTTTTTAAAATCACCTTGGCTCCCAGGTCGACCTATCCTTGAGTGGGCATTAGGTAAAGTCATGAGAAGTAAAGGCGGCTGGCGTGATGTTGAACACATCCCCAACCGAGTACCGATTGGGTCTATAATATATAGGTCTAGCCCGATCTGCTCAGTACACCAACATTGGTTGGGAAAAACGGGGTTGCTCGGTTTATGGATTCACTGGTTGGTTTTTAAATTGTTTGTTATTTGGGTGAGTGATTAATCAATCTTTAGTTGGTTCATTTGCAAGCTGTTTGTTCATATGTGTGAGCGTGTATGTGTGTGCGTGCGTGTCTGATGAGTGAGTGAGTGACTTTCTACCCCACCAGGACATCACACAAGCGATAAACACCCGATGACACAACGCGCCACCATGTGGATGAGGATCACCGTGGAGAGGTCCCAGAAACCGCGTTCAAACATTTGGCCATTTTTATGGCCTGCCTATATTGCGGCCCCTGGCAAAAGCCAGAGTGGGGCTTCAAATAACAAAAAATTACGTCCTGAAAAGGACATAAGGACTTATCGTGTCTGATTTGTTAGATTTTTTAAAATTGCTTTGATTCTCTGATTCGATTGGATGCTTGATTGTTTCAATAGATGATTGGCTGGTTTGATTGAATCGTTATTAGTTTATTGTTGTGTGTGTGTGTGTGTGTATGTGTGTGTGTGTATGTGTGTGTGTATGTGTGTGTGTATGTGTGTGTGTATGTGTGTGTGTATGTGTGTGTGTGTGTATGTGTGTGTATGTGTGTGTGTGTTTATGTGTGAGTGTGTATGTGTGTGTGTATGTGTGTATGTGTGTGTGTGTGTGTGTGTGTGTGTGTGTGTGTGGATGTTTCATTGTTTGAATGAATGACTCTTCTTCTTCTTCTTCTTCGATCCTTCTGTCAGAAAACTTATATCAGGAGGCCGGTAGCCTTTATGAAAGCTATCGTGCAATCCATATCCTCTTGTGTACCATACAGTTTTGTCTTCATTGTGGTTGGAACAGGCCAGATTGCGTCTCTGTTGTCAGCATACAGTTGACAGTGTTGCACATGCTCAGCATTTTCGGGTGCCACGCTGCAGGGACACGTCTCCGTATTTCCTACACCGAAAAATTTGAACATATGTTGACGAAATCTGTTGTGCCCTGTCCTTAGTCTGAATATAATAGACTGTCCCTCTCTAGAGAGGCGATGAAGTGAGTCTTGGGGAGAAAATCTGGTGTGGGTATCCAGCCACCTTTCTTGGATACTAGATTGTATTAGTGTTTTCATCTCTTGGTGGGTTAAGTCGCTATTTGGTTGTACCATGTCACTGCCGCTTCTGGCCAATCTGTCCGCTATTTCATTGCCTTCCAAGCCACAGTGACCTGGAATCCACTGCAGTACAGATTGTTCTACTGAAGAGCCTAAGTAAATCAGCTGTTGCGTCAAGTCTACAAACTGAGTGTCTTTTGGGTTAACAATTGCTTGTAGAACTGACATAGCATCAGTCAGAAAGACCACTCTGCTATATTTGCTGTGCTGTTGTCCATTCAGGAAAGAACATGCTGCTAGAAGTGCTTCTGCCTCTGCTCTGTAATTGGAGGAATATGAACCTGTTGGTACAGCCTGGTTGATTTTTAAACCATTTGGGCATTCTATGTATATTCCTCCTCCTCCGTCTCTTACTGCTCTCTTGGCTGAACCATCTGTATACACTCGAATCCAACTCTGGTGTGGGTAAAGTCTATTGATCTCTCCTTCTGTAGTTGATTTCATATCAGTGCTGCTCATTGATGATTTGGAGGAGACCCCTGTTACAGTGGTTCTGACTGTTGGTAGGCTATCCCTAAGCCAAGCGGTAAGGTTTAAGTGGAACATTTGGTATTATGGGAGGGAGTTTAAGGACAGCGAGCTTGGCATTTGCGTTCTTAATAAAGCAAGTTCTCTTTAGTCTAGCCTTCTGGGGTTTCTGTAGTCGGCTGTACATGGGTTGTTCTTGAAAGTGGTGGTATTTGGAGAGCTGGGTGAGGATCTTTGTGTCTCTCTTATCTTCCAGATTATGGAGACCAGTAATTGTTTCCATATCTGATATGGGCGTGGAGCGCATTGCCCCTGTGATAATACGGAGAGCATGGTTTTGGATCTTTGAGACTTTCTGAAAATTTGATTTAGCTGCTGTGCCCCAAGCAGCTATTCCATATTCTAGTGTTGGCCTCACATAGCCTGTATAGGTCCTCTTAAGGACATTGAGGTTTGCCCCCCATTCTGTTCCAGCTAACTTCCTCATCAGTTGTGTTCTCTTGAGTCCCTTGCTCTGTGTCTTTTCTATCTGTTTTCTCCATGTGAGTCTTGAGTCAAAGGTTACTCCTAAATATGACGGTGAGTCATCATGTATCAGTGCCTGGCTGCCATATCTAAGTGAAACTTTCTGGGGTTTGGTAGAGAGACTGAAAATGGTGTGTGTGGTTTTGGCCCCATTTACAGGCATGTACCAGCTATTGGACCACCTCTCTAGAGTTTCGAGGGATTCTTGAAGCCTTGTCTGTGCTTTTTCAGTGTCCTCCTCTGAACTCAGTAGCGCCAGATTTTCGGCATCCATAACGGCTTGAACTCCATTACAGAGGGTTGATTTTATATGAATGACTGATTGGTTTGACTATATATTTGACTGGTTTTGTTTGGATGGTTCACGGGGAGGGGGGGGGGGGAATTGGGTAGCAGGCGGTGGGTGGGGGGTGGGTGATATCTACAACACGTCGGCCGCCTTTACTTTTCATAATTCTTCTTCTTCTTCTTCTTCTTCTTCTTCTTCTTCTTCTTCTTTTTCTTCTTCTTCTTCTTCTTTTTCTTCTTCTTCTTCTTCCTTTCTGTCCACCAATGCAGCATAGGCCCTCAACCAACTCACTCCAAGTCGTTCTATCCTTCGCCATTGCATGGAGCTCTCCCCATGCCCTCCCCATCTTTCTAACTTCCTTCTCCAGCTCTCTTCTCCATGTTTTTTTTTTTGGCCTTCCTTTATTCCCATGCCCCTGTGGGTTCCGATGCAAAGACATTCTAGTTGTGCTATTCTCCTGTTTTTTCAGTGTGTGTCCTATCCAACGCCAGCGTCTTTTCATTATTCTACCTGGTACCTATTTAAGGCTGGGTCGACTTTGAAGCCGAGGTCCTTTTGAGGGTGGGGAATGGCTGGAGGAGGGAGTAGTTAGGATAATGCTGAACATACATTGACTTGCTAGTTATTTACCGACTGTTTAGGGTTCTGGTCGGCTCTGTGGCTAAGTCGATGCTAACGCTTCGTAATGCCCGGATGCTGGGTTCGATCCCAGCTGCGAGCCATGCGTCTTGCGTTGGTTTCGACAGTGGTATCAAGAAAGCCAACCGTCCAGGAAGCAATGGCAAACTACTAGAAAAACCTCACAACAGCCAGGGGTTGTTGGGTTTGGTTCTGCAACGTCATGTAAAGGATATGCAACTAACCTAGGGTTCTGACTGGCAAGAATTCAAGTACATAGGAAATCCCAAAGTCAATTCACAAAGCCTCATTCTGAAGTGATCAGAGTGTCTAAGAATGTCCCGAGTTCGGGGAAATCAGTTCTTAATCATTCATTCATTCACACATCCATTCACACACTCCCGGGACGGCTAACCTGGTCAACAAATGCCTACATAAGTCGGATGTGTCGGTGGAAATGCGTAAATATCGCAGTCATGCTGTAAACTAGCACAAAGCAGAAAAAGAAGAAGAAATCTTCCGTAATTCACGTATTCATTTAGGAAGCCGCCGTGGTGTAGCGACTAGACGCTCGCCTTGGGATCAGAAGGTCGTGTGTTCAAGTCCTGACGTGGGCCTGACTTTAAAAAAAAATGACCTTGGCTCCCAGGTCGACGCAGCCTTGAGTGGGTACCAGGTACAGTGCTGGAAAGTAAAGGCCGTCGGCGAGATGCTGACCACATCACCCACCGTATGGTCTACAAAATATAGGTCCAGCCCTATGAACCCACTACGTCTGAAGGGGTGGGAAAGGGTCCTTTACTTTTTTTACTTACCTCTTCATTCACTCTTTAGTTTGTTTGTTCAGTCCTACATTCCTTCAATCGTTCATTATTATTCTTTACAACCCGCAGACGACCAAGTTGTGGTTCCAGCCTTTCCGCTGTCAGATCTGATCCCAGAGAGATACGACTTTTACCGCTATTACGGTAGCTTAACCACTCCACCTTGCTACGAGTCGGTCATCTGGTCGACTGGCACAGATCCAATTGAGATGTCCGAAAAACAAGTAAATACTGTATTCGTGAAAGTATAGAGCATTATCATCGTCATCAAGTGTCTTGTAGACTGGCATGGGTGATCATACTACTCAACAGCCCGCATTCTCCAACTTTTTCTGATAGTCCACGTCTTGTAATGTTGAAACTCACGTTTATCAACAACCATCAGTCGTGTGTTGAGTTGAGTCAAGAAATGACATCACAGCACTAGGGGTATTCCCATACGTGCTCCTTTCGCATCCTCAGCAGTCAGCGCAGAGTTTCAATTCTAATTTTGCCAGTCGTAGTCTGATTGTATGTCCGTGTTGCCTTTCCTCTGAGCGTAGTGTGACGGCTGAACCCTCTGGTGACACCCAAGGGGCATCATTCTCTCCAGCCCAAAATAATCTAGTTTTTCTTTTGACTTTATTACTTGTTCCCAAAGGGCTCTAACCACATATGCCTTGTATCAGTTCACCACATAGCAGTGCAGAACTAGTCAGTCTTTCTGCCTGTTTATTCCCCACCACACCGGCATGGCCTGTAAAAAAAAGATCTAGAGAATGCTCACTACCCGTGACCATGCAAGTGAAGCTTGCCACTCTGCTAGAAGCAATCCTGTCGTTACCTTCTTCAGCATGCTTTCAGAGTCCGTTTCAATTACGACATGTGCATCTTGTTCTCTAGCCACCGGTAAGCTGCAGTGACTGCCTTTACCTCCATTCTCATGCTAGAGGTTGTGGTATCATATACCAGGCTGTCCTGCACTAAATCTTTTCTATTAGCTTTCGCTACGAAACCCTAGGCACTTCTCTTCCCACTCAACACAGAACCATATGTGTAGATAATCAGATCATCTGGGCGAGAACTATCGTGAATCAACCGTTGGACTTCTACCTCCATAGCCCCCCGCTGGTCATTCTCTGCACTCTCTACCTAATGTGATCATGACCCTACATAGGTCAGACGTCCTGTCCAGCTCTGTCCCACTCCTCTTCTCGCCCAATGTTCTTCAGCATGCATACTTGTCATATTGTGTCTTCTGCTTAATACATCCATGATTTTCCCTTTGTCAGCCTCCCTCATCTAAAGCTTCACACAGAAGGTGTTCTTTATCTGCAGTTACTCTGAGGTGTGACAGCAGCACCTTTAGCCTATCTGCAGTAGTCGGCAATGAAAGGATGTATCGCATGCACACAATCGGGGTGTCTCTTGTAGATCCCAGGATTACCATCATTATGTATGCTCTGCAGTTTATGCGCTTCAGTCTCGTGTACATTCAGTCAGTCATGACCAAAGAACGTAGATTGCCTCCTTCTGATGTGGGTAATCGGCTCTCTTGCATTCTTCAACGGCATGAATCAATTGGTGCCTTGACACTTTAGTAGAACGACATAAGGTTGTCAAGAATCTTCCTTTATCTGTCTCTCCTCACGCCTTTCCAGCTGTCACAAAGTGTCCAAGTTTGCCTCTTTTCCGTGTCTTCATTTTGTTCATGTTTTCCCAATACTTGCAATTGGGGGAGTAGGCCTCTTCAGGAGCAAGACAAACTGTCTTACCACCCTACCACAACTTGACTCTCTCCCTTTTGTCTCTCTCAATTTCCCTCTTGTGTATGTCTGTGTTTTGCGTGTACCTTTACATGTACGCATATATTTTATTTAACGATATGCTTTTGACAGCCATGCTTTAAAAAAAAAAAACTTTATATTCATGCTGTGAATTTTGAAATATGAAAAAAATAAAGTAAACGACCCATTTCCACACCTTTGGTTGCATTGTACATATAGTAAGAGTCGCACATTTTGTAGACCAATCAGCATCTAGTGGATGATGTGGACGGCATGTTGCTGGCTGCCTTTACTTCCTAGGACTCAACCTGGTACCCACTCAAGGCTGGGTCGACCTGGGAGACAGGTCATTTTTGAAAAACAAAAAAGTCCGGTACCGCCAAGACCTGAAGCCATGACCTTCCGAGCCACATGCGTGCATCTAGCGGCAATACATGACGGCTTATATATGAACATTATATGTTTGATATATGAAATATAGTTACCGCCAGAAAGATGAGTGTCTGATAGGGTTGAATTAAAACAGGACATTGTGTCCAATAGTCACCCTTTGGAAATAATGTTCGTTCATCTTCTCTCTATTTATCACATTCTCCCTATCGCTCTCGCTCTCTCTCCATCCCTCTCTCTGCATCTCTCTTTTCTCCATCCTCACTCCTGTCTCTCCATCCCCTCGCCATCCCTCTATCCACCATCTCTCTTTCTCGCTCTCTCTCTCTCTCTCTCTCTTCTCTCTCTCTCTCTCTCTCTCTCTCTCTCTCTCTCTCTCTCTCTCTCTCTCTCTCTTACTATGTTGTGTACTGTACAGTCATTGATCAATCACTTGAGCAGGAATAATATTTTTATCTACTATTCAACAACAGCTGAACAAGTTCCGAGCTCTACGTAATGATAAACACACAAATCTGGTGGACGACTTCAGACCCACGCAGCCACTGAACTGGAGAACCGTGACTACCACCAAGAAACCCAGCCCTCAGTAAGCAGGCTAGGTCTCGGAACCCCTATACTTGTAAGTATATGCTTAGTTAATTCAATTGCTTATTTCGTTGACTGGTTGGTTACATAGTGGTAGCAGGTAAAGCTACAGTAGAGTGCAGACGAGCCATGGACCATGCTGATGTTGTGAATGCTCTACGAGAAGTAAGACGTTTGCTAGAATCAAGTGATGACTCTAAATCTGCAACCATGACCAGACTGCAAGAACAGCGCGTTAAAAAGGGATGTGTCCAGAGAAGAGCACTATGCAGGAAGCCAAAGAAAAATAATAAACCAACACAGAACAGATGTCGTGAGCCGCTATACACTGAGGGATCTACTATGGAGGGCATCCGAGCACTTATGGGCTGAATGGTTCGACGTGCAATGAAGATAATCTGGCGACTAACTAACTGGCTGAGTAACTAATCAACTAAATAAATAACTAACTAACTAACGACCTAACTAATTAACTAACGAACGAACGAACTAACTAGCTAACTATAGAGGTTAAACAAGTGATTGGCCTTCGGTCGTCTGATTGCTTAGCTGGTTGGTCGGTTTGTCAGTTATTATTAGTTGTTGTTGTTGTTGTTGTTGTTGTTGTTGTTGTTGTTGTTGTGTGTGTGTGTGTGTGTGTGTGTATTTGTCCAATAAAGCACCATCGTCTCTTCTCAGAAAAGGTACAAAAGAGCCCCATCTTCTCTCCGTTATAAATGTTGATCCCAGTGAATGCCTTACCAGTGGATGCCATACCAGTGGATGCCATACCAGTGGATGCCATACCAGTGGATGCCATACCAGTGGATGCCATACCAGTGGATGCCATACCAGTGGATGCCATACCAGTGGATGCCATACCAGTGGATGCCATACCAGTGGTTGCTATACCAGTTGTTGCCATACCAGTGGTTGCCATACCAGTGGTTGTCATACCAGTGGTTGCTATACCAGTGGTTGCCATACCAGTGGTTGCCATACCAGTGTTTGCTATACCAGTGGTTGCCATACCAGTGGTTGCTATACCAGTGATTACTCACACATTTTTCTGATTTCTTTCCTCCTCTTGAATTCATCCCATTTCACGTTCACACTTTATCTGACGTATTTTTTCCCCTCAGCATTTAAATATTTCTTTTGCATCTTTACTTTGAAGTTTGAAGTTTGAACAACGGATCAACATCATGGCACAGGGGAAAAAAAACCATAAGTGCTCCGTTCTTCTCCTAGCTCAAGTCTGAATCCGAAAAAGCTCAGTGCAGTGCACAGGCTCTGTAGCACCGGCTAGGATCCTAAAATACTTTGGGTAGATTTTAAACTCCAAATTATGCTAGCGTAGCGCCGCTAAGCTACTCTTTTCGATTTCCAACTGCCAAGGGATTCTTTATGTGCGTAACAATGCACACGGGAGTCTAATCGCAATACCCAGAGACCAGGGGGAATTACTAAGTCCAAGTCCACTTGATAAAATCCCAGCCCTTAAAAGAGATTAAAAACCAGAACCTCTAGCACTCGAGGCGGACACCATGCCACGAGACCACGTTTGTTCGCCAACTTTCACGAGCATATGTTAAACCTGAAGAATCATTAGAACTGAGAATACGTCATTCTTAGAGAAGATGATTGAGTGTTCAATTATAAATGTTCTGTATTTTTTTTCTCTCCAGCGTTTGTTCAAGATTTAAACTGTAAATGTTCGGCAAACACAATAGTTCTGAAAGAAAAAACTGGCAATAGAGAACAATGACTACCTTATATCGATACAATATTAAAGAATAGCATGAAATAAATGAAAGTATTACACATCCTAAAACATAGAGGTTTTTAACTTTGTTTGTGGTTTACAGCTAAGCTGCGATATATGAGACTTTCGGCCCAAGACAACTGATAGAGTAAAACGTTTTTTTTTTCCCTTGTCCAACATCCTTATAAGAGGGTTGTGAGTCTATTTAGCTGTCTGTTCTGTCTGTCTGTCTGTCCTGCCTGCCTGTTTGTCTGTTTGTCTTGTCTGTCCTGTCTTGTCTGTCCTGTCTTGTCTGTCCTGTCTTGTCTGTCCTGTCTTGTCTGTCCTGTCTTGTCTGTCCTGTCTTGTCTGTCCTGTCTTGTCTGTCCTGTCTTGTCTGTCCTGTCTTGTCTGTCCTGTCTTGTCTGTCCTGTCTGTTTGTCCATCTGTCTATTTGTTTGTGTGTTTGTCTTTCTCGAGGGCTAACTAGCTACTGCCTCTGACCTACCGACATGCCTGCCATCACCGTCTGTTAAGTATACAGACAGACTGAAGGAAACAGAGAGATACCACAAACATTATTGATATAACTGGTCGTGAAACGGCTGAGAAAATATCACCACCTGCCCATGGCGGAATCTTGAACTTTAGCCTAACCAATCCCAGCATGTCTCTTGTTGAATCTGTATCGAACTTTTCCCTGCACTTCTTCTTCTTTCTTTTGTCAAAATCTGCTTGTGCCGCTAGGCGTCGCAGT